ACCTAGTACCAAGTATGGACCTACTAACCTATTGTTAGGTGCTACGTAGCCCCAAACCAAAACCAAGCACGGTGACGGATAGGCGAAGAGCTAGGAGGCAAGGTGGAGATGATGAGGTGCGCGGCAGCCGGCAGTCAGTGGAGCGCAGAGCACGCTTGAGACCGTCACCGCAATTGGCCCAGCTGTGAGGAACCAGGTCGCAGGGGATACGGAGATGGAAGGGCAAGGTAGGCAGACAGGGAGGGGGAGAGGCAAGAGGCCGGGAGGTAGGTAGGTAACAGGAGAGGTGGTGGGATGGGTAATAGGCAATGGGTAAGAATGCGGTTGAGAGCTTTGAAGCTAGGGACGAAGATCATACTGTACCTACCTGGTGGAGGTCCCAAAGGCAGCTCTAAACTTTGTGAGCGCGGCGTCGTTCCTCGCCCACTCCCGCTCAGGCCTCTGGCTGGGGATGTCGATGGTGCTGCTCCTGCGGCTTCACTCAGCGAAAAGGCCCGCACTTCGCGGGGTCGACTCGAGTCCGAGGCGGCGGTTGGCGATGGCAATCAATCAATGCGACCCAAGGCGGCGGCAGCACCCCTCTCGAAATTCGATCCAATGGCAGGCAAAGGCCGGCGTCAGTGTGACCAGATGATCGGGAAAGGCGTCAGTTTCGGCTGTGGGCTGTGTCACTCGCAGAATGGACTCTGGTCATGCAATTCGTTCGTTTATCAAGGACGGAGGGAAGCACGTAGCCGAAGAAGAGAGATATGTTGCGAAATATCCCGCCGATCTGGCTCTGTTAAACTACTGCTATGTAGGCTACGTCTCCCACCTATCTACCTTGCCTACCTCCCTCCATGGGAATGCAATCCATTGGACGGAAAGGTCTTTGCACACTGTACCCAGACGCATCTGGCGCCCGCGATCGCCGCCGGGTCAAGGAGAAGCGCGCCATGGAGGGTTTGGTTGGTTGGCTCATTGGCTGACTTGCAGCATTGAGTTTCTCCCTTGCCCCCATCCAGCTCGACTAGCCCTCTCGGTCCGGATTCATCAGCAAAGAGGAGTGATTTAGCAAACGGCGAACATACGTCACGTCAGCGACAGAGTTTGTGGAGGTGATGCATGCGGAGAGATTTCGAGTTATCATTTGTTTCAGGCTCAGGACTAACACAGCCGCTTGGTCCAGCAACTGCCCAGGTCTTGACTGTTCCAAAAAAACCGGATCCGACTTCTGCTCTGATGGCATGATCGAGGACGATCGTTTCAGCTATACTTTACACATGTCTATCCCAACAATACATCCTCCTACCTACAGCCATTGGAATCTCTCGATGAAATGGTCGAGTTGATACGAGCTTGCGCATCCAAGCTTCCAATTCCATTCCGCATACCATCGGGATGTACTTCTTGGACCCCATCCCATCGAGCATTAATGAGCTTCAGGGTGGGGGACCTGATTGCGGAGTAACCCCAGTCGCGACCAATTTAGCAACCTTTCTAACCCCTTCGCGGTGACGGCAACTATTTGCATTCTCTCTGTGGTTAACATTGGCGGCGGAAACGGGATAGGCGGAATATACCGGCCGAGGGGCTGGAACACCTACTTATTTAGTCGCATCTAGTCGTTGGCAACAACTCTTGTCCATGGATGCCATCCAGGTGCCGGAAGGTTTCCTAAGCCGCGCCGCTTTTAAGCTGAGCTGCGATCGGGTGTGGAACACCAACCAAGTCAGCAATATCGTCACTGACATTCAACCCCGAAGATCCGCCGGACAAATCTACGCCTCGCTCTGGCATTGCTCGAAATCACAAGAATTGTATTGGTCCTAATATATATGTGTGACATTTCTTATCAATACGACCATAGCAAAGGGGAGGTTAAGTTTGCTGCAAGCCACCAAGTCTAGGTAAGGAAGAAGACACGAAAGCAAGTGTTACCATATGATACTATAACAGCCTCATAAAAAATCAAATCGAATGTGCAGGAGGCATGGTAGGCCATTGAGACAAGAAGACCCCAAGCCTTTCTTTCCCCTGCGGTCGAAACGTTGAGCACCCAGCTTTTTGTTCGTTAATGTACCCTTGTACCAAATTGCTGGCATGCTAGCAGGACTACAGCAGTCACTGATTGTCGATACGACGACCGACTAGTGCATATCTTTGTGAAAAGGCATATCGGGTTCACAGACTTGTGATCATTTGAAGGAATGGTGAAAAGAGAGGAACGTGGGCAGGAGAGAGCTAAGTGTAAGAAATCAACCTCAAACAGGTATGACGGAATAACCACTCTATCTATTTAGCTTGAGTAAGTGATCAGTCATATACGCCCACTTGGGTTATTCTCATCTTACCGCAAGCCAGTACAGTCCCTCAGCCCTTCGGACAACATCTCTGGGGCCAGATTTCCAGTGCCCCAGATCTACGCATGATTCTAACTCAATGGGATCCGGCATTAGACCGCCCATGCTCCATGGGGTAACAGGTGAAAAAGAACAAGTATAATGTCATTTTGTTTGCGCTGGGCATCTTTTTAGTTACAATTCCCAACCAACCAACTGTTCGATAACCCAAGAACACGGCCATAGGATGACCAAATACACAATGAAATGCCCCATAGCCCGTCCATGCAACCAATTCGCGACTCCTGGCCATTTCTCGAAAGACATCTCATTACCTACACATGCACCCTCATCGCGACGCGGATCGTGCCCCCTTTCAGACTTCCCGTTGAGTAGGGATATAGAGATAAGTATACCGTACCCTCTCAGACTCCACGATGCGCGAAACCTTTAGAAACGGGTCTTGCTCTTGGCGCGGTACGCAGTATACCCTACGTAGGCACCGCCAACAAGCATGAAGAAGAGCAAGATCTTAGCCAAGAACCAGGCCCAGCTGCCACCCTGCTTGGGAGGTGTCACCCTGTTCTTGTTGCGCCCCTTGCCGCCGGGAGACTTGCTGCTGCCAGCAGTGCTGGGGCTCATGTACAGGTTCTTGGCCTTGACGGAAATGATGTCGTGGTTGTCGCTGAGCTCACCAGTCTCGGCACTGAAGCCAAGGTAGGCAATGTTGGGGATGGCAGGGGGCTGCTCGATGTCGAAGCAGGTCATCCAGTCAGTTTCCTTCTTGTATTGAAGCTCCAACTTCAGCTGCTTTTCCTGGAAATACGTCAAGCGCATCTTGGTTGGGATGCTGGAATGGCGGATCCCACGAGCCGAGCAACCAGCCAGCTCCGTGTTCTTGCCGTCGTTGCCCTTGTCGTAGGGGGTCTGGCCGTCACCGAACATGGCCATGACATAGGGGAATACGACGCCAGGGCGGTTGTTCTTGTACGTATCTACAAAGATGCCGAGACCCTCAAAGTTGTCGACGTGGCCAAAGACATCGCCCTGTTGTCCTCGCTGGCGGGTAATCCACATGGCGAAGCCATCACCGTATAGCTGGTGCTTTCCGGAGATCTTGAACTCGACCTCAACCTCCCAGTTGGTAGCGGTAAGCGGTACGCGCGAAAACAGCCAGCCGGCTTGCGAAGGGCTATCGGTGGTCAGGCGGATATATCTGTCCCAAGCAACGTTGTTAGTCCCCCTGTTGGTCTAAGAGTGTAGATCGCTCAATAATGGGTGAGAGGGGAGCACGTACGAGTCTGTGCGGACAATGGTGTCTCCTCCAAAGTCGAACCATCGACTCTGCATATCATTGTCGAGGTATGGCTACCGAATACACATGTTAATCGCACTCGCGCTCCCTGAATTGTGACAGATTGCTCGGCTCGTGACCAACCTGAACGAGTGTGTGCGTCCTCAACTATACGCGTGATCATTGTTAGTTTCCAAAGGATTGCTTAACAACCTCAACAGCCAATGGGTCTATACGAACCGAAACACTCTTGATCTCTCCCTCCTCGTCGGCGGCGCTGGCAGTCCAGGCGAACGCCGCGAAGAGTAGTGTGGACAGGGATGAGAGCCGCATGATGGCGTAGTTGGCCCGGCTCGAAGGCCTACAGCGCAAACAAATTCTCGGGCTTTTCGATTCGTAACTCGCCCGTATCCCTACAGACAGACAGCCGCTCGGATGAGTTGTTGGCTCGGGGTGTGTGATTGTGTCGGCAAACGGTTGACTGACCCTTCAAAAGGTACAGATCAAGCTAGACACACAGCTGTCCTCTTTCTCCTTAGTTGAAGTATCAAAGTTCCCTGATTTAAAACGGGGCGCGCCACAGAAACCCGGGGCGTCCGTCCCAAAAGAGGACAATATCCACACGTTTTGTGGCGCTTGCCTGCTTCCTCAGCCACAGGTCCTTGCAGGGGATGCCAAAAAGCTTTTTTTCAACATCGTCATCAGACTCTATCTAGCCCGCAACAACTGCCGGTACACTTATAAAACCAATTCAATCATGGACTCCAAAGCTGTTAAGGATGCTGTCTTTCAGCAAGTCGTCGCCGAATCCAACCTGGCCAATGCTCGAGTCCTCATCGAGGTTTGATTCCCCATCTAACGAAACGAGGTTGAACCAGCACACTGACCAGGCATGGGGGCTGTAGAAAATCCAGGAAAACTGCTTCGAGAAGTGTATCACAAAGCCCGGGGGCTCAATTTCCAGCGGCGAGCAGAGTTGCGCAACTTCCTGTATGGAGAAGTACATGAACGCCTGGAACCACGTCAACTCGGCATACATCACTCGCGCTCGACAGGAGGGTGCCGGCACTCAGTAATGATGAAGACCTGTTCAGTCTGTTACGAAAACAATATATATTTGGACTACCACCGCTATGTACAATATTTCGCTGGTATAGAGAAATTGGCTCGAAAAGCCAGGGCGTCATGGGAGAGCGATAGATTAGATGGTCCCAACTTCATGGAATAAACACCAATGGGTCATTTTGATCGGCGTTTGGAATACTTTGTACACATAGGATACGAACGGGGCATTAATTGTCGAACTACTCTACAATAAAGAAAAAATAACCGTTGCGAAAATGCAAAGTATATATTTTGCTTGGTGGTGATCCTTGATTCTAATGCTAAGTACTTTTGTTTTTCTCTTCGGCTGCGGCCCGTTTTCGAGCAAGATATCTTTCTCTTGCGCTTGAAATATCCCCTTCTGTCTTCTGGCTCTTCGAGGCCCGCTCTATCTCTTGACGCTGAGTCTCTGCCTCCTCTCTCGAGCGCTTCATCGACATCTCCAACTGGTCAGCCAACATGCGAGATTGCCTCTCGCGCATGGCCTGCTTGTTACCGACCTGTACGCCGTTCATATGTCTTCTTTCTCTCTCCGCGGGGCGCTCATCGTCCTTTCTCGGTGGCGCCTTCTTCTTGGCCCCAAGGTTCAGACCGCCCTTCAAAAGCTGACGCTTATCAACCACCTGCCCATCCTCGTTCAGAGCGATTGAAGCTCCTTTCTCATTAAGTGCCTTGGCGCGATCTGCCTCTTGCTTTTCCTGGCTAACCTCCTCTTGCTCTGTTGCTTCGGGCTCCTTCGGTCCATCCTTGGCTATGTCCTCGGCAGCCTTGACGGCCTGTGCGTGTCTTTGCTCGTCCTTATTCAGTAGATTCCGGTAAAAGGTAGACATTCCTCCGCCTTTGTTCTTCTTCGCCTCCTCCTCCTCCCTCCTCCTCTCCTCTTCTTCTATTCTCTTGTTCTCTTCTTGCTGTTTGCGATAGGCTTCTGTGACAAACTTCTCCTTGCCCGCGTATTCTTCACCTTCCTCCTCACGCTCCCGCGCAATCTTCTTCTCCTCCGCTATCAGCTGGTCTCTCTTGCGGACCTCTGCCGCTTGTAGCAGGTTGCGCATGTACTTGGGCCGGCGCTCCTCGTCTTCCTTCAGAGCCACCTTCTTGGGCTTGATGGAGTCGTACACCGAATCGAACTCGTAGATGCTTGGATCAAGCTCGGCGGCAGCCTCCGCATTCTTGCGCGACGTGAGCGCACTCGATAAATCGCCAAACTCGTCACCTGTGGCCCCTCTGGATTTGAGTTTCGGCGGCTCCCTCGGCGGCTCGCTCTTCTTTTTTGCGCTTTTCTTGGGTTCATCTCGAGTCGGCGCCGCGCCAAAGTCATCCAAATCTCCCCCGATCTCCTGGACCTTCATGGACCTGCTCGCGTTGGCGCTTGTGGGACCTTCGTCGTCGGAGTCATCGTCGCCTCCAAACACGGGCTTTCGTTTTGAGGGGGCTGGTTTTGATGCGCCCGGCTTTTTGGCCAGGCTCAGTCCGAAGGCTAATGGCTTGCTCATGGTCACAAGGTGGCCTGGAGCTTGAGGCGCGTGCGCGCAGCTTCTGGGGCTATGTATTTCGTGATAACGGAGCTTCGGAGCTTTGAATTGTTCATCTGCTAGAGTCACTTGCCGCTCATAGCCAGCTACTGATCAGCAGAGGACATTAACATTAATGTTGGGTACAGATCTGAACTGGTCAAAGTTTCCAAATGTTGTCTCTATCTCTTATCGGTCGCTTCGTCGCTACCTAGCTAACCTATACCGAATACTCAGTCACCTTCTTACGTGTTTTTTTGTGGCATTTCAAATACGAGAAAATACATTTCGTATCTCCTGAAGGGCCATGCCAGTATGTAAAATTAAGTTTTTCTCGTTTTAAGTGCGATTGCTGATACCATCTTGGCCTAGAATACAATACCTCCCACCTTGTTCAGGTGGTAGGTATGTTTCAGACTTGTAACCATCCATCAGCACCACTTACAACGTCAGCCTGCTGTCGATGACGTGATTAGTCACCACCTGCCCCAAAAGTGTTCATCTAGATAAGGTAGGCATTTGCCGATAGAGGCGAAACCAAACATTCTCAACTCTCTAACCAGAACGTGTGGTATTACCCAAACCATGGACTCTTGCTGCACCTGCGCGTCTATTTTGCCGACCGCTTCGTCGGAGAAATCTGAGAAGACTGAGAAGACCTCGCTCGAGAACCGACGGGTAGATTGTTGTGGTCGTCTGATATGTGGACAGTGCATTATTGTAGGCAGCTTGTATCCTTGTTTTCTCATTATATGTTATATTCTCTGAATCTAACACAGTTCCGGGTCAAATAGAGCAATACTCGATTCGCCGAATACTGTCCATACTGCCAGATATCGACTGGCCCTTCCCCCTTGCCACAAGGTCTCAGAGAACCGCCCTCCTACTATTCTCTTCCGGCTGTAGCGGCTTCAGCAATCAGCCGTGCTGAGCCGCCGCCGTCATATACCCCATGTCCTGCCCCTAGCACACTGTCGACACCTATCGACGAACAAGCCGATATCATGGACGAAAAGCACACGACAGAGGATACCCTCCACTTCCTAAACCATCAACACGATAGCATAACTTCTCTGTCACTTCGTTACGGTGTACCCGCGGCAGCCTTGCGCCAGACAAACCAAATCACCAGTGACCATTTGTTGCTTGGCCGACGGACCATACTGATTCCTGGACAGTATTATAAGAGCGGTGTGAGCCTTTCCCCACGAGCCATAGAAGGCGAAGACGAGGAACTGCGAAAGACCAAAGTCCGCCGATTTATGACATTTTGTAAAGTCTCCGATTATGACGAAGCTGTGTTTTATCTCGAACAGGCCGACTATGATATCTCGGCGGCTGTGAAAGTCTATTTCGAGGATGATGCATGGGAGAGAAGTGCCCACCAGACGAAGCCCAAACAAACGAGCGTGCAACGGAAGCGTGGATCTCTTTGGAGGTTATGGTGAGGGGGCTGATGTTCGTGGAGTTCATGGAGTTTGTTTGTGGGAGGTTGAATTTTGCTGTTGATAATATTATTCGGGTTGGTCTTCGCATATGTTAGATTCAATGTTAACCCTCAGGGTCCCCCCTGAATGATAAATTAACAACCTTCCACAGGGCAGATGGGGACCGCTGTGGAAGTAAAAGGTTGCGTGACGCTCTCCATCTTAAAATGCAGACCTAGTTCGTATATCCTAATCAACTGTTAGCACCGTGTAACTTGATAGATAATGATGATCATGACTGACAGATATTTTTCGCTCAATCTCGCGAACTGAGCGATCCAATTCGCCAGCAATCATCTGCTTCTTGTCGTTGGGAAGTAGTGTGTATCTCTCGCAGAGATCACCGTCGATGACGCCTTTCACAGGAGCATAGTAACCTCGATACATCAAGTGATCTCGACCTGCAATAGGTGGATCCTCTGTTCTCAGATGTTGTTCCAGATTCTGGAAGAAGTCCGCATCTTCACGACTCACAAAAGGAATAAACACACCGATGGTACCCATTATGCCGCTCCACAGCAGAATGTCTTGTCCTCCAACAACAAGACTTGTCTTAGTAATGCTGGTCGGGACATCCTGCGTGAAAAAGTGACACATGAGGTTTAATCGATGTGATGTTCCATGTAAGTAATCCCGCGCATTAATGAGATGAAGACCGGACTGTTCCTCATCAGCCTCCTCGCTGGCACTCGGTGGGCATCTTACGATGAACATGTTGCCAAACTTGTCACCCCCTGCAGTCGACTCGTAATCCACCATTGTCGAACAGGTGGTCCACCGTGCAATGGTGTCATCGACGAATGGGATGAGCTTGTTGGTGGATGGCTTGTACACTACGTACGTCATTCCTTGTTGCACATCACCAACCACGATACGGTTTCCCTGCGTATTGAGGGACACGATCTGCTGAGGAGCAACATCGGCCTGTGTTTTGCGGAGCAATTGTCGCATTCCAAGATCGTAGACTCGGAGGGTCTTGCCAATACCCGCTGCAAGTTTTCCTTGGAAAGGGAGTAGTGCCAGAGGTGGCTCCTCGACCTTTGTTTTATGGATAAACTCCAACTCCTTGCCGCCCTCTTGGAACCGGTACACGTACAGATATCCCTCGGTGAAGCTACGTGGGCTCAAGACCATATCCTTGCCAGTTCCAACAACAAGAAAGCTCTCGTTGTCCTGACTGGCAAATGGAACAACAGCAACGCTTACGGCAGCCTCGTTGTCTTCAAGATAAACTGTTTGTAGTACTGATGGGTTTTCCGAGACAGGATCGACAACACTCATACACGAGGCCCACCTACGATTACCTCGTGGGTGGCCAAAATCTTCAGGCGGCAGGGTGTTGTGCCCCCCATTCACCGTCTGAGGATCAGCTAGAAGCTTAGCTTGCAAGTCAGGAGACAGCGTATTGTTGTCCGCCTCAATAGTGTAGAAGATCGGTTGCTCAGGGTGCTTGACGAATTTTTTCGGTGTGTGTGAAAGCCGGATTGACTTTTGGATGAGCGTCTCTCCCAAACGATCAATAGAAAAAATTCTTGTGCATATCCATGTTAGCAATCTGATTAAGATGCGGTATGCAAATAACGTGTGTAAATCAAGTAAAAAAAAAAGTCCATTTCAGTAGGAACAATTTGGAAATAAAAATGCGTAAGAACCTCATTGCCTTTAGGCGTAGGATCCCAACTTGTCATCATAGGACGTGGTATTAGAAAAATGCGAGAAATGAGAAAATTAACATACCGTAGGGATTGGTCCTGGATGCCGACAACACCCTCCTCACACTGCTCGCTGCTGAAATTCCAGCCCCAGTTCAGATCTACATAATCAAGGGGCGTCACTACGAAACCCTTTGAAATAGGGTCAGCGTAGCCGAGCCAAGGCCGTGAGCTGAGACCGAGAACACATGTGGTGCCCTGGACAGTGACCTGGAACAGCTTGACGGCTCTTGGACCCAAGAACTTTTGGCGTGTATCTGTCAGCTCACCGGTGATTTCATCCAGAACGGTCCGTAAGTAAACACCAGAATGTAATCCGATGTGCAGGTATAAGGTGGAACCACCAGAAGAAGAGTCTTCCATTGCAATGATAGCCAGGGAAGTCGGTGCAGCAGTCAAAGCCTGTACTGACTTATTCTCAAGGGTGGAGTCGGGATCCAGGCTGAGAATACGAACAGTACAGTCGTCACAACCCACAGCCAAGAAAGAGCTTCGCAGTCTGCCTTCAGGGACGTCACCCAAGCTGAGTGACGTGACTGTTCCGGTCATTTCCTTCTTCTCGTCGTATTCCGCCAGAGAACCATCTGAGTCAGTTTCAAAATAAACTATTTCACCGGAACTCAGCGCAATAGCGACTTGCTTGGTGTTGGTCGTAGCTGCGACGATAGAACGATGTTGAGGAGCCGCCCATTCATTCACCTGTCCATTTTTGATATGTCGTATCCCTTTTGGATGAACCTGGATAAGACTATCTTCGCCCAAAAGCTGCGCAGCCAATGTGGGCACACTAGTGAGGAAGCCAGAATCGCTTACTTCCTCGACGGTCTCACCAATACTCAATACTAGCGTCGCGTTTGAGAATGAAAGCACAATGTAGGCATCATACTTATCGGATCGGTCAAGTTTCAGTGTCCAAACTGCTGAGGGAATACCAGGCAGTTCAGATGAGACAATCTCGTTGACTTCTAGCCCATGTTTCAGAGTTCTGAAAGAACTTCGAGCCCCGTTCCCACAGACGGTAAAGATTTGTGGAGCATCTTCGCCAGTCACATTCTCGACTTTACAGTCGACGACAGGGTTCATAGCTGGGATGTTTTCTACCAAGGCCAGGTTTTCGGCTGGTCGAGGGTAAAAGTAAGCGGCTTCGTAGGGAGCATCGGGAGCGACAGGGTAATCATCGCTTGAGAACTCCAGCTCGTCATCATCGTCACCCAGCTTTTCGAATTGATAGAACGAGTAGTCTCCAAACTGGCTTGCAACGTAGAGAAAACCACTCTTCAGAATGCACAAGCTGGATGCTACTGGAACTGTGTCAAAGTATTTGACCTTGAGTCTTCTCACTTCACCAGTAGCAACGCCCTCTTCATTTTCAACCATGTCGATTGTGACTTTGAGCAAATCGCCGTCTTCTGTTTGCAGCAAGAAGAAAAAGGCGCCAGCATTGCCCTTCAACTTGTGCATAACACCTGCAACTATTGTTCTTTTTCTTGTGGGGTCCTCAGTTGCGCCGCGACGGCGGGGGACGGGGACACGGAAGGCTTCTTGGTTCGAATGCCTGTACGTGATGTTCTCCTCTCCACAAACAAGGACGCCACTGGGTCCATCGTTGCCTCCAGGCACCTGGAAGAGGACAGACGCGGTGGGGTCCACGGGCTCTGACCACTTGCGTACCACGTGGTTCAAACCGAGATCCAGCTCGTAATAAACGAGTTGCGTTTCCAGAGCTTCAAGGGCTTGGCCAGAAGGGTCTTGGTCCACATCCGAGTAATCGACCTCGAGGGCAGCAAACACTGGATTCGCGTAGCCAACATCCAATGCCACCATGGATATTACCACAACACCGGGCTTGTGAGCCTCAAGTGGAGATGAGATTGTCAACTCCGCCTGGGCGTTGCGGTTCAAAACATAGACAAGCTTGTTTTTTTCCGTTGACGCGATTAAACACGCTCGGCCTTTGGGATCGCAGGTAAGGTATTCTCCCGGGATGACCCTTCTGACGCCAGATTTGCCAAATGTTTCCAGGTGAAGCCTGTGGAACCGATTGTGGCTAGGGAGATACTCGATAACAGTGATTCGGCCAGAGTCCGTTGCCAGAATCAGGTAGTCTTGAATGAATACGGTTAGCAACTTGAGTTCTATAGAAGAACCAAACTGGGCTCATATGTCCCCAGTAAGGCTACGCTTTGCAGGCCCTATTGCGCCCTTCTTGGATATCACTAAGTGACACTCGTAATATCGGAAAGTTGACGGGATGACTTACCTTTGTTGCTTCCTGCAAGTCGGAAAGGCGCGATTGAGCGAATAATGCCAAAAATGTCATGGGATAGTACTGTTATGACCTTTCCCTGCTGGGGGTCGGGTCGCAAAAGAGTCAAACGCGATCCAGCCCCTGTGATAATGAGTTGTTCCTTGGTGCCTGCGAACTGACCCAGAACCGCTTGGACGACGTGGGTTGGCGGCTGGATCGTCAGCGAGTAAAGGAACATGTTCGAGGTGGTCGCCATTATTGCGGCTGGGTGTATTTAAAGCCTACGCGGCGGCAAAACGTGAATTGGCGATGCCGATGGCTTGTGAAGAGCGTGCCGCCCATGCAACCCACGACAAGATGTAGGTAGCAGAAGCTCTCAGGAACCTGGGAGCTTGAAAAGTTTCCAAGCACCTAAGTTGGCTAAGGATTGGGGGTGGCGGGTTCCGGAATAACTATTTTCACGGCGCATATTTTGGCAGGTGGCCCGAGCTTCCTCGAACCACATCTGGATTCTCGTGAGGTGCAAGCAAGAGCTAGGGTTTCTTCAGCAATCTTGCCATTTGTTCAGTCCAATTGACTGGAAACCTGCCACAATGGAACCATCGCTGCGGCGGGCTGCCTCGAGCTTTTGCGGGCGCTGCTCTGCATCTCTGAGGAGGCAATTGGTGTCACAGAGATCACCACAGCACATCACAGCGGCCCCGATCCGCCATGTCCGGGCTCTTCACGGAACGGCGTCGTATCAAACAAAGCGATCGAACTCTCTGACTGGAAGCAGCGAAAAAGTAAGGGACTTCAGCTCCAATGCGAAACTCGAGGCTGAATCTGCGGCCGCTGCTGCCCCCGCCCCGCCCGCTTCTTCTGAGCCGTCCTCGAGATTGAGTCCCGACAATTTATTTCATTCATTTACCAACTCCCCTGTTCCCGAATTCCGACGCCGAGCAGCCTTCGTGAGAGAACACGCATTCTGCCCTCACCCAGATCACCAGCTCACCAAGGTCCCTACGATTGCCCCCAAGGCTGAGGACGAGGCCGAAACAGGCGGATCATCCGCTCCGTGCCATGTTGACTTTGAATGTCCCGACTGTGGGATCCCGGTTTACTGTAGCAAGGAACATTGGATGGATGATTACGAGAACCATCTTAAGATTTGCGATACTCTGCGACAAATCAACGAGGATGATCATGACCTTCGATCAGGCCGTGTGTTCCACGAGGCAAACCTTCCTGATATCCAGATGGAGCATGCCATGGTCAACATGACCAACTGGGATACGTTCATGTATACTCGAGAGTTTGATGCAGTCGATACAGATCGCTCGATGAGGCAGATCACCAGGCTTCTGACGTACCCAATCACCGTTGGTAGTGTTCTTCATGAGCTCAGTCCTTATGATATCAAGTCTGGCGGTCGCTTGACTATTGAGGGCTTGAAGAGTTTTAGTGGTAAGTGATAACTGTCTCGTCTAGTGGGTATGAGAACATCTTAATGACACTCGCTTTAGCTCTAAGATACAATCTCCATCCGCAAAGGACCGGTGCTGGTTCCCGCGTTGATCAGCTACGCCCAGAACCTCCCGCTGTTCGAATCTTCATACTTGGAGCTAGGGCCGAATCTTCTTTACCACGTGCCACGTGGATCCAGCTCTCTCATCTATTCCCTGACGCACGGTTCCATCTCATCTTCATTGGCCCCGAGAGCATGGCGAACCGTGATGATGAATTCCCCCTGCCTGCGCGCACACCCGAAAACCCATGGGGCGCTGTTGTGGAGGATCGGATCTGGTACAGGATGAAGATTAGTACCATCGTGGATTATTATCACACAATCCACAAGACAGGCTACTTTGCTCCCCACGATCCATACTTTGACTGTTTCGTGCTATTCCACCCTGGCCTGGGCCATCCTGCCAGCAGTCATGATTGGGAGGAAACCCTACCATTGCTGTTAGAGACCAAGGTTCCCATCGTCAGCACTGGATATACACAGTTCGACCTCGAGCGAGATGTTGAATGGGTTAAGAAGAAGTCAGGTGGCGAATTTGATATTCTTCTGGAGCCTGGCCAGAACAGCTTCCGTAGTTTGCGATGGGATTTGAATGATCTCGACCCTCAGGATGTCAGCAGTGGCAACTGGGGTGTTTGGGCATTCCGTGGAAAGAGGTTAGTCCCAACTCCGTGATTCATCTGTTGCTTTTCAGTAAGATTGCTAACGTATGCATAGATATGAAACCACCACCATCAACAACGACCCGTAAATTCTTACCGTGGCCTTGACGAAATGCCGACAGGCTAATAGATAGTGTAACAATTTTTGTACAGAATCTATGTACTATATTTCTGGTGACTGGATATAAAATCACTTAAACTCAATCTAAAACGAAATTCCCCTTACTAGCTACCCGGATTTGCCATGCAGACTGCCTCGTGTGGATGTTTCCCGTAATCAACAAATACTTGGGGAGTTTGCTTGGAACACGCTCGTAGACGTGTCATATGAAAATACTGGTTGGGCTTAGGTATATCTCTGGGCGAGAATAACGCCAAACCATTGTAATTCCTCAATTCCAATAATAAAGTTTCCCTCTCCTATTCCTAGATCACGAAGAAAGAGATCAGAATATCTTAGCTCTAGCGCACCTCTAGTGACACCACTATATGATGAGAGAAGAAAATCGTTTGCTGTAGTAGAATTCTTAATGATTTTAATAACGTGTTCGAGGGCTAGCTCAAACTGTTGAGCTCATATACGAGACCTTGCGCCAGGAAATTCGTTTGGCCGTTCCCGGTATGCTTGATGTCAACTTCCCTGATCGACTTTAACCTGGTGGTTTGACTCACTAAACATTTAGCTGCTTATTTTCGAGCCTGCGACTGGTATTATCAGGTATCAAGTACTAATAATGCATACCTCGGAGATAATATAGCGGGTATTGTCAGTTGATCTCATTTCATAATACTGAATCTCTCTATTTATTGTAGAAAGTAGTCTGTTTATAACCAACTCTTCCACTAGGCGTCTCATTTCTCTTATCACACACTTGGTGGGTTCCTTGACTTTGCGGCTTTAGAATTGCTCAAGAGCATGCGACATCTAACACGAAAAAAAATTCCAGCCGACGGGATGAATGGCCGAGAACAAAATGAAATGAGATTCGAGAGATAACCACCAAGAGCCTTATCTACTTTGGTATTTGTTGGATGGCTGGGTGGAATGCATGTGGACGCGGTCTAGGTTAAGCCGATAAGGGGAGAAGCACGCAGCGCACGGTTCAGGCAAGTAATAGAGGAGCAGCTGCGAACTGCTCGCACCGCCACTGACCTCGACATCCCACTCACCGAGATCCTCGACACAAGCACTGCGACTGCAGACCGGCGGACTGCTCCCCACAGAGCACCGTAGCTGTGTAACACCAAGCGAAGGCCCCCGTTGGGTCATGATTCCGACAGCGTTTCCTCTGGACGGCGTCGCTATCCTGATGTCATGACGACAGCCGCAGCACAACCACTCGGCACCCCTGCCCCTCGTCTGAGACCGCCGACTTCATCAGCCACGGACACCGAGTCCAAGGTGGCGGCAGCAGCGCGTCGAGCGCCGTCATCAGATCCGCTCTCTGCGCGGGCAACCTCTGCCCTGATACGGCGGACGCTATGCCCTCAGCAACTCGGTGACAAGGGCCGCGACACCCAGAAGCCCATAGAGGAGCTGTTGCCCCCCCTTACGAGCAGGAATGACGTTGACCTCGAGCTCTATGCCTTTCTGGCCATCATCCTACGGCAATTTGTCCAGAGCTGGTACGGAAAGATCACCTCGGACGAGAACTTTGTGGCGGAGATTGTGCACATCATTGCGCACCTCACTCGCGCGCTGGAGCAGCGATCCAGAAAGGTGGACTGGGAGAGCTTGCTGCTGGATCAAGTCCCGGATTTACTAGACAAGCACATCACAGGTGCGCTCTTTGAGTCACGAGATGGGAGGAAGAGAGGGTGATATGGTGAACGCCGCCAGCTAACGAGTTCCAGCCTATCGCGCTGCGCATCGACCAGCCGCTCAGAGTCATGTACATATTGAGCCCAGGCAGGTCTATCATGCGCTTATTCCCCTACCTTCTCTATCCCCTGTTCCTCTCAGCGACGATGAGGCCACTGTGACGGAGCAAAAGGACAATGAGTCGGCGTACCGACAGCTGCTAGTCCAGGCCGTGCTCGCGATCCTCTTACCGACTGAGGATCTCGAGAACCCGTGCCTTACCGCCATCGTGGGGCAAATCTTTTCAGAACTCATCATTGGCAACCTGGTAGCCAACAGAGTAGCGCAGCCATGGCTGATATGGGAAGGTATCTGCATATTGGCCAACTTGCAGCGGCGCAAGAGGGCAGAAGCCGCGGAGAGACTGGCTGCTAGCACTGGCGGGCTGCCCCGCAAGTGGAACGTTCACGGGTTTTTCCTATCCCTCATCAACCTCGTAATCGTCTTCATCACCTCGATCCGCTTGGTTGCGTCGGCTGTAGTGGCCTCATCCTCATTGCCGCCTCGGTTGGTGCTTGACGGTGACGAGAACGAACCAACCACATCAGCCAAGCAGGTTGATGAGGCCGCGCCTCACGATGATCCGAAAGCGCCGATTCTTAGCTTCAGCATTTGGTCATGCGCCGGTAATCTGATCGAGCTCCCCTCGAGGATGCCCTGGCTTAGCGGAATGCTATCCCTTGTTCTACATGGATGTCTCAAGGGTCCAGGCCGCATTGGCAGGCTCAACGGTACAGTTGATAGGTAAGCTCTTCACCATCTCATTACGCCTCTATACGGAAAGAAGAAGGAAGCAAGCCCTTGGCAGCAATATGTCCTTTCCTATCCCGTCACATCACATCAGACCAGACCAGACCCATTCGCAGTGGATCTCGTCATTTATTTTCCGCTCTAGTGAGCATTGATTGACACCAGGCTGCTCCCGATGGCAGTTGGCCAACAGAGAGTTACTTTCGGCCCTCTGGCCTGGCCCCTGGTCCTGCTAGCTTGGGTTGCGTCTGCGAAAGGACGATGATAGCTCACAGTGGTCTGGGGAGTTGCTCTATCAATTATGGGGATGAGCGAATATTCAGGCCCTGGGGAGATCGATTTGCTGGCGTTGTTCCTAGCCTGGCCAATTGGCGTGCACCGTTGGAGATTGAGCTTCTGATTGCTCTCCCAGGTGTGGCACCATGTTGGATAATCCAGCCAGCGACACCGCGGCTCTACGCGCCGACATTGACCAG